TTTGATTAAGTTGGGCTTGGCTGAAAATTAGAAATAGTAAAATCATATTTTGGATTTGGACTAAATTAATTAGTTAGCAATTTATTTTAAAAAATAAAATAATTTGACTTATTTAAGATAAAAAATTAGAGAGATTCGATTCTTGGTCCAGAATCGAGAACCGAACCGAACTGAACCCGTCGGTTTTCGATTTAGATACCTGTTCGGGTATTTAATTTAAGAATAATCACTCGATTTGGTTCAGTTCGGTTTGGGTCCGGTTTAGTCTGTTTTGGTTCGGGAGTTTTGTCCAGCCCTAGTGTCGCTAGCCGATGCCTGATGGAATCAGAAAAATGTTTTGGTCACTTTTAAAATTTAGCCCTTGTTTGACAACCATTTTTACAAAACTTTTTTTTCTCTCAAACCATTTTCAACCACACATTTTCAAATAAAATATTCTGCACCCTAAACTAAAATTTTTTTTCCTACTTTTTAACTACATATTCTCCAAAATAATTACTATTCCAAAACTCAATTCCCCAAAAAAAACTATTTATAATGGTTGTCAAATAGGGGCTTAGAGAGATGTTTGGTTAGTACAACAGAAACTGATCAAATACCAAGTTATTACTCACAAAGTTGTATAGAAATTTTGTGTGCTCTCATCACTTCCGTAATAATTATCAAAATAATTGTAGTGGGGTATTAGGCCCCAAACCCCATTCTTTAAAACTCATTTTTCTATGTACTCATTTTCAAAAAAATTAATGTTCCAATAAAATAATTTTGCACGTAACCCCAAAACGTTTCCGGACTTTTTTACCATACGTTCTCCAAAAATATCACTTTTTACAAAATCTATTCTCAAGAAATTGGGGCCCAGACAGGGCTAGTATTGAAACCAATCAAGATCTCGTGCGTCTAAATTTTTTATTTATCATTTTAATTATGGCAACTTGGGTATATGTGCTTTGGCCTATCTTTGTTAAAGTCTACTTATTTTTGCAGGTTTTAGTGATGGCTGTAAATAAGTGTCCCCCTTAGTTTTAGCATTTGAACCCTTTGCTTCCTGATATATTTCTGTGAGGGGAAAAGATCTTCTTTGCTCCTGAAAGAATAAAGTAAAGTTGAATACTATTCATTTTTAATTGTGTTAAACTGCTCTGTCTTAACAGGTTTGACTGTGGCATGTTCATGATCAAGTATATGGACTTTTATAGCAGAGATATAGGATTATGTTTTAACCAGGTAAGCCTTATCCTGGGAGATTTGCTTATTTATGCACGTCTCTCCTTTTTACCTCTCCTTGTTTTTTTTACTTTGTTGATATATCTTAATTTTTTTTACGTTCCTAAATTCTTTGAATTTTTCAAGCACGTTGGGTAGACTATAATTCTAAACGAGGTGCAAGAGTGAGGAATAGGTACATTGGAAATTCATGGAAATTATTCTGTCGACTTTCAAATTTCTTTACTATGCAATGTTAATCACCTGATAGTGACTAGGCACCTAATAAACAATTGAGCGGGACACTATCATGTTAAAACCAATAGGGTATTCTTGTATATTTCTCTGTCTACCAAGATTTCATGGATCCTGGAGCAGCTTGAATGGCACTGTGTTCGGAGAAACTATACAAGATAATAATGCCACTACATTTTCATAATCATATTTTGTTGCTTCATAACATTTGTCTTGGAACTGTAATATTGCAGAACACAGATAAGATAATAATACCACTACGCTTTGATTTCTTTGAACTTGAATAGGTCCATGACTATGCATCTTAGGAGAATTCATATTTTTTTCCTTTGCAAGTTGTTTTGTCTTGGACAGTCACTAAATACTGTATCAACCCTCTGAGACTGAATTCTATTTATCAACAACACAACTGCTGACATCATTTTTGTGTTGTCCAAACTCATTTGTTATTTTTATTTATTTCTTTCTTTCATCATTTTGGGCTGTCTTCTTTTTCTTCCTTATAGGATCACATGCCATATTTTAGGCAGAGGACAGTAAAGGAGATTTTGCGTTTGAAAGCCGAGTGAGAGAGAAAAAACTTACTGGTTCAATTTCTGTGCTGTACTTTCGATTTGTTAAAGCCAGCAAATGAACATATATCAGTCGGCAAAACATTTGAAAGCCAATGATATATCACATTAGGCACTGGTCTAATGCTCCGTGGTTATATTATCTGTTGCTGGCATTGTTGTTTGTGAAACCTGGCAAAGGAGCTGGTGACCCATATTCTTCTTCATCAACTCTTGAGCACTGAAACTGATTTTTGCAGGATCAAGTACGGAAGTGTTTGCTCTACATTTTCATTTTAAATTTTGATGTTACAGTGTATAGTCTTCTAGTGTCTAGTGAACTCAAAATTGTATTGCCACTTAGATATTTGATTTATGATTGAATTAAGTCTATTTTTTTGGAAACTTAGTCCTAACTTGATATTTAACTCAGGCATCGTCTCATTAACCACTGAATTCCTCGAATATATATGCAACAGACCTCGACTTTGGAAAGGATGTATTTATTCAATGAAATGTCTCGAAGTGAGCCATTTTGCTCATTACTTATCTACAAAAAAGAAAAAAGGGTCATGATCAAATTAATCTGTTCATGAGAGACGTTGCTACATAACTTCTCGCACAAAATTATGCCAAGAAACTGTTATATTGCCCAAAATAAAAGCAGCTACTATTAAGGTGATTCAACTTTACACTATTTTTTATCGGTCCTGCACTATGAACATGCTCAATGACAGATTTTTAAATAGATAGGCACTGATGAATTCTCATTGGAATTTTAAAAATAAAAAAAGACACTGTCAATCAAGGGCTGACATTTCAGCCCTTGGAACAGGCTCCTGTGCCTATTCAACAGACTTAATTGTTTTTTATTTCAATATTTGCAATATTTGCATTGTTTATCTATATTTTTATTTAGTGTTATTTTTTAATTACTTCTTCAAATTATTTGCTTTTTTATAAGCTCATTTTTGGCTTATTTATCGTTAATTAACGACAATAATATGTCATGTCCATCAAATTTTCTAATGGTCAATTATTATTTGATAGATGGTATAATGATTTGATAAGTTCTTTGAACTTTTCGAAAAAATTTAATGTTCGAGTTGATAAGTTTGTTGACCATCCGAATTACTTTTACAATTTAATGGTTGATGAGCTAACAATGTCATAAATTCGGTGATCATTCAAAAAAGTTTAATGGCAATTAAAAAAACATTGTGCGAAGTATAATGACCATTTAGTATTCGTTGGAATAAGAAGTCCACGGGATTGAAAAAAAATTTAGTATTAGTTGTTCATTGGACCAAGTCCTAGGCCATAACTACCTTACTAAATTCAAGAATTCCACTTGTACCAGATCATAGAATTACAGTCCTCAGAATTATAACAAACTTTTCATTGCAATGACAGAAATTTCTCAATTATAAAAGGTCGATTAGCAGAAAGAAAATTTGTGATATATTGTGTAAATCAGAAGAAAATGGCAGATAAAACAAGTGATGGTAATGGAATTGGATGAAAGTGATCACAGTTTCTATGCATTTGATTGGATTCTCACACATTTCCTTAGTTCAAATTCTACTTTCAAGCTCGTAATAATCCATGCCACGATTTCTCCAGTTTCTGCTGTAGGACATGGTGGACTTGGTATTACTATATTTATTCATCAACAAACGCACAGATATATACATGCAAAAGTATGTTGAACAATCTAATCTAAAAACTTAAACTGTTAGAAAAGAAACACACAAAATACGTCCTAAATATATCATGAATAATGTCTTTCTTACCGAACCAATTAGATTATGTGTTTAATTTTGACCATTATGAACATTACTAGTATAAAACTTTTGATAAAAATTGAATCTGATCAGTCTTTAGGAACCACTGATGAGCTATCTATAGTAAGAAAATTTTTGAATTTAAATTTCATGTATTTTGTCCAAAAATTGTGCGTGTATTTTTCTTTTTCCGCGTGCAGGTGACTGATGTCGAGTATGAAGTTATAGAAGGCGATGCAAGGAACGTCATGTGTGATGCTGTAAAAAAATTTCATGCATCTGTTTTGGCTCTTGGTAGCCATGGCTATGGAACTTCTAAACGGTACGTATAAAAAATTAAACTTTATATCAAACTGAACAAAACTGTAACGAATAGGAAATAACATAAAAAAGTTGCAAGATTACAAATGTAAAAGTCGAAAACTGATGATATTAAAAAAACTCAAGCTACAGTAAGAAACGCCATGCATGGTAGATGTTCAGTGATCTTATTCCTATTCTCTAACACTTGACCTCCTTCAAACCATGGGCGAAATATAAGAATGTCGGGTCAGTGGCTCCTTCCTTGTAGTAAGCAAAGACGAGGGAGCTGTCATCGTGCATGCTCTCCCCCACAAAACTACAAAAAATGTATTAAAGTCAATGCATGAATCGATAAACACCAATGTGCACACTACTTAACAGAAGTAAAAGGACCATAGTGCATGTTTGATAACTCAGTACATTGGACAAGGGTTTAGCCTTTTTTTTCCACTTAATGTTGTCCATTACTGTCGACTCCACTTTACTAAACATATCAAGAAAATACTTTCTTACAATTGGAGATCACTGAGCTTTGAGAGAAGGAACTTAGTTGCTCCCTCAATGTTCTTCTTGAACTCCTCTTGCTTCTCGGTTTCCAGCTTGGGTGTCAACAATTTGATGTACCTCTTCATGTACGTAACAAATTGCTTCTTGTCATAAGCAGGTTGCTCCTGTAAGATCCAGTGTAAGACATCGAATTCCAGAACACAAAGGACCGTCAAATGATGAGCATAACTATGCACCAGACTAACCTGGAGCCTGAATGTGTCAACAATGTCAACCACCTTCACAGCTTGGTCGTCAACCCCCTCATCCTCATCACCACCTTCAGCAGAAGGGTTTGCACCGATGTCTACATCGACTGCTCCCTGAACAACCCACTGTGATCCAGAGAAGAAATTACAATGTTAAAACTTCTGAACAAGATGTGATACAAGTAGCCAACCAAACAGTTCGCAAGGACAGAAGATTACAAAAGGTTCATTGAGTAAATATACATAATAGTGAGTTTTTGTGAGGAAGGAAAGATCTAACCTTGCCCTCGACCTCCCAGAGAACACCATTCTGGATTTCCTTGTAAGGAAATGAGTCCGAGAGAAGTTCATCGCCTGCAACATATATTTTATAAGATAAACCATAATGAGAATATTTTAATTCACAGAGAGCAATCAAGCCGAAAAATTTAGCATTGATAGAAAACAAGTAGATTAATCTATCAACAAATATTTATGGAAAAATACACCCAGTAACTTGTTTGTAGATATAGCTAAAATGAATTTTAAAAATAAAAATCTCACAAAACACAAAACAACACAGCACACATACATTATCATAAACAACAGGATTATCAACAATCTTTTTTCCCAATAAATAAGGTTTTCCTGTAAATTATTCCCTTCACTAAAACAAAAAGAATCTGAACTAAAATAATCAGAGCAACAGGAAAACAACAATTTCTACAATAAACCCATATTAGAAAAATCACGAAAACATCTACCTCTATAGAAAACCATCAAATTTTCTCTTTTACAAAGATACAGGCATAAGAAATCAGAATAAATAAAACTAGAATTTAATCTTCAAAATAAAAGGCCATAGTAAATAACAATAATAAAATTGATCTTTCTAGCAAAGTATATCAGTAAAAGAAAATTAATCTCTATATAGAAAAAGTTCAACTATCCGCAACAAAAGCTTTAATCTTTATACTTTATACCGAGAACCATCACCAATCAGCAAACAACGAATAGATAGCAATTCTTAACAAAATCCCAGCACAAGAATTACCCGACAACGCAAAATTAATCAGCAAAAGATTCACATCTAATGACGAAAAAACCATGAATGATCAGAAAACATAAGATCTTGCAACAAAAATTATGCAAAAATATAAAACCAAATTAAAAAAGGCTAATTCAATGAACTTAGTGAAAAAATTACCCCAACTGCCAACGTATAATCAATAACTACAAACATAAACCCAGTTCTCAGTTAAACAAAACAAATCAGCGCCCAATAAAAAAAATACTGAAAATAAAACCATGAAGAGAATCAGAAACAGAATAAAAAAGAGGAATAATTTACCTGTGAGTAAATCCTGATAGACCAACATGACTGCAAAGTTTTGGCTCTCCACACGGAAAAGGGTCTTTCAAAATCAAGATTTTTTGCAAAGAGAGCGACAGTCGGTTAAGAAGTATGTAGAGCCAAGACATCGCACATATATATAGGTGGAGGCTTTGAGGGGGAGAGGTAGAATAGGATAAGAATTTTGTTTTGACAAACCTTCTCGCATAGCGGCATCCCGTGACCTCTTAGAATTGTAATTGTTGTTGGTCTATATGGGGGCTTGAGACCTTGGCCCAATACTTTTGGACTGAAAAAAAGTTGGGAAAATTAGGGGAAAAAATTCATAAATAAGGTGTTTAGTTTACACCAATTCAAAAATCATATTTATAGTTTGAAAATTCAAAAATCAGAATTTTTTTTTTTAATTCTAATATAATATAATATAATAAACCCACCCCACATGCACTACCCCTATCACTCCGGAAACTATTCCGGCGACCATTCCTACCACCACTCTTCTCCGACGACCACTCTTCTTCGACGACCATTTCGGCGACTGCTCCGATTCCGACGACTATTCCGACGATCATTCCAGCGACTATTCTGGCAATCATTCCGGTCATAGATTTATAATTGAATTAGTCACATATTATTTTTCAGTCACAAATACTAATTTTTATACATCACAGATTATTTAATGGTCACAGATTTCAAAATTAGTTGGTCACATATCAAAATTTATATATCACACAGTTATAGATTTTCAAATTAATTATAGGTCACATGTCACATATTTTAAAATTAATTGATCACAAATTATTTCGAGGTCATAGATAAAAATTTTGTACGTCACATATTATTTCGAGGTTACAGATTTTTAAATTAGTTGGTCACAGATTATTTTTGAGTCACATATTATTAAATTTTTAGGTCACAGTTCAGTAATTTGTCACAAATTACCAAATATTTGGTCACATACTACCAAACATTTGGTCACAGACTACCGCCACTACCACTATGGCCACTTTCGACCACCCTCTCCAACACTACCAGCACGGCCACCAACAAAAATGTACCACCACCGCCGTAGGAAATACACAACCACCACATAAACAAACCACCATCACCATTTTGCAACCCACCAACAACCTGCACCAGAATTTCAATTACAATTTCTGAAAATCAAAAAATGTGCATAATCATCCAGCAGATGGATCGCCTGCAAAGTGTCAGGAGCTTTGTTTAAATCAAGTGCACCATCTTCTGCACACTTTATCAAGTTAATGAATTTTTTTGTCAAAAGACCTGAGACAATCCATATAAACATCAGCACATAAACAATAAATTTTGACAACTAAAGCCTGAAAAGCTAATCCAAAATGGAAAATAACATAAGTACTCAAGGAGCTATCATAGCGGCAGCTTCCAGTTGGAATGAGAGGAGATGAAGCATCTGCAAATTCACCCANCATCACTACATCACAACCCAACAAAAAAAAAAAAACCCAAGCCCACCACCGCCAGAACCTCCACCCCCGTCGCCACTACCTAGATCCACCACACCATATCGCACTAGACTGGAGTCAATTTCATAGCAACCCTCGCTGTCGCCTTCGCCGTAGTGAGCAGAGAGAAGGATGTCACGAATCGCCGCGATCTGTGTACCGGCGAAACCATAAATCTGCACGTAGAGGCGCCGGGGTTTGTTAGATCTGGTGTTGGCGTTGCCGGCACCGGCCTTCTTTCCGGCGTGCGATTTTAGACAGAGAGAGATGAGGGAGGAAGATTGAGTCGGCGGTGAGAGAAAATAGATTGAAAATGAATTAGGGTTTATTTGGAATATTAGTATTATGATATTATTTAAATTAACAAAATATTCAATTAATACCTGATTTTTGATTAAATAAACTTCATACCTGAATTTTGAATTTGGAAGTTTAAGTACCTGGTTTTATGTAATTTTCCCAAAATTAGGCCCCATAAATTCATAAATAAGGTGTATTCTTTACACCAATTCAAAAATCAGGTATATAGTTTGAAAATTCAAAAATCAGGTTGTTTTTTTTTTAATGAAATAATAACTAATTAAATCAATTTATTATTAAATATTTAATTCTAATATAATATAATATAATTAACACATCCCACATGCACCACCCATACTGCTCTGGGGACTATTCCGGCGATCGTTCCGATGACTGCTCCGATTCCGACTATTATTCCAACGACTATTCCGATGATCATTCTGGTCACAAATTTATAATTTACGGTCACAGTTCAAAAATTTTATAGGTCAGATTAATTCGTTGGTCACAAATTTCAAAATTAGTTGGACACATATCAAAGTTTATAGGTCACACAGTCACAGATTTCCAAATTAATTGGTCACAGATTTTTAAATTAGTTGGTCACAGATTATTTTTGAGTCACATATTACTAGATTTTTAGGTCACAGTTGAGTAACTGGTCACAGATTACCAAATATTTGGTCACATACCATCAAATAGTAGGTCACATATAATCAAGTAATTGGTCACATATACCAAATAGTGGTCACACACCATCGTCACCAACACTACCACCATCGCATCCACCCGTCTTCGTCGTAGCCAGTCCACCACTATCCTCGTCACTGTTGCCACTACCAAACACCCAAACCCCGACCCTGATCCACCAACAACACCATCACAACACCACAACCGTACACAAAAACACTGTCAAACCCACCCACCTCCAGAGCCACCACCACCACAACCACCACCGTACCCACAACACAAAAACACTGCACACCGGCAAAGCCAAAAACACTGTACCCACAACACACACACACCTACCACCACCGCACACTGCACCCCTAAACCGTACACAAAAACACTGCACACCGGCAGAGCCACCACCACTGCCGCACCGACAACACACACACCCCTACCACCACTGCATCCAGCCACCCCCACCCTCTTACATCATCGATCCCAGTCCCAGCACCACCAACTCGTTGCACAACCATCGATTGCAAAAGCAACTCCAGTCGTCGTGCATCTTGTTGACGGCGTCGTCTTCTTACAGCGACGCCTATATCACATCGAAACCAATTCCATATTTTAAAGCGTCGCCACATCGTGAACGCTGCTGGCGAGGTGGCGCTGCATCCAGCATCGTGCAAGACTCTCTTCCTGTGGGTAGTGCCGACGACGACATTCTTCCTGTGGGCGGCGATTTTGGACAGAGAGATGGGAGGGAGAGAAAGAGGGGGGGTAGTGAGAGAAAACATATAATGAAAATGAATTAGGGTTTGTGTAAATTATTAGTATTATATTATTATTTAAATATTCAATTGATACCTGATTTTTGAATATACAAACTTTGGACCTGATTTTTAAAAAGCTATATTTAAACCCCTGATTTTTTTTAATTTCCCAACTTCAATTACATGGCTGTTTGATATGCTTGGATAGTCGCCCCATTTCTTACTGGGCGCCTACCAGGGGCGGACCCAACACAGGCCCAATGCAAGCATCTGCCTGCACTGGGCTTTGGGCTGCCCCAAAATATTCATCAACCCAATACTTTAAAAAAAAAAAAAGGGCCAATTATTTGGCCCAAAAAAATTGATAAAATAGAAGCCCTGATGGCTGCTCCTACAACGCGCCCACTTGCTT